AAATGAGCTCCTTGCCTATTGAGATTTTATGAAATGGACCATTGGTCCTGACTCAAGAATAAGATGGAGTGAAGAAGGTGGAATTCAAGTTCCACAACCATAATAGAGACTGTGCCCAACTCACCTTGTGTGTGTGTGCGCGCGCACGCACGTGAGCGCGTCTGTGTGTGTGTGTGTGTGTGTGTGTGTGTGTGTGTTTCCAGCACCTCGTATGGTGTCTGGTATAAAGGGATTATCAATAAACATTTTTTCATTAAATTGAAAGCAGACAAGATGGTTTGTCAGGAGAATTCCCTCCTGATTTAAGGCACCTCTGAAACAAATAGAAATACATCCCAAAAGTATATGGGAAACACACTCCTGACTTTGATTTCTCTACCACATGCACAGACTTCTCCAAAATCTTTATCTCCATCCCCGAGCTCCAAATCCACATTTTTAAAAGCCCACTAGACAATGCCTAGATCTGGATGGTGCCTCCCAATAAATATGTCAACCCCAAATCTGCCTGGTCTTCCAAGCTAGACCAGTGGTTTCCAACCTATGAAACAAGCACCTAACAGATCATGGAGTCAGCAGGGTACCAAGTGCAAGTTAATGATGGGGTCAGCCCCAGCCAGGTGCAGGGCACTAAAAGTGCCTCGAAATCAGTCAGCGTTTCACTATCACTATGCATCAGCGATTCTGAACAATGCCAGTGATGAAATACTCCTCCAAAAAAATATCCAATGAATCCAAGTTTTAAACAATTGCTGTGGTTACTTTCGAGTTTTGGTAATATTTATTTAAGCTTCAAGTTGGACATTTTTATTACTTGCCTTTAATAAACATTGTAATCTGCATGGAATTTAACTCAAAGGACTCTCAGTTGTACAATTGCCCCCAGACACAAGCGGATTCAGTAGCTTTTACCCATCATTTAGAAAGTTTGCAAAGGTCCAGAATCATTCCAGACTACTTCAGGCACCCTTCATATCTCCGGCCTTTGTGGTACTCTGTATTTCTACATTTAAACAGATTTGACCTAAACAATGATAGCATAGTGATAGTGTCTCAGTCAGCTGACAAAATACCATGGGTGGCTTGAAAAACAGAAATTTATTTTCTCACAGCTTTGAAGGCTGGAAGTCTGAGATCATGGTCCGTTTACAGTGAGGGCTTTCTTCCTGGCTTGCAGATGTCAGCCTTCTCACTGTGCCCTCACATGTCAGAGAGAAAGACCACAAGTTCTTTGGCATGAAGTCCCCACCCAAGGGTCAAATATGCTAAGTATACTATGCATGAAGTAATTCCAAGGGATTGAGAAATCAATACAAATGCCAAATGTTATCTGCAAGCATATGTATTTGCAAATACCTGCAAATATCTGCAAATGTTATCTGTATGAAGAAATAATACAACTCACATTATATATATGTAGCCACATGCCTGGTCCCTAATTAGTTGACTTCGAGTTAATCAAACGTAGTATCATCCTGGATGGGCCTGACCCAATCAACTGAGCCCTGTAAAAGAGAGTCTGGAAGTTAGGCTCTCTCTGGTGCTGGCAGTAAAAATCAAATTACCATAAATTCTCCAGCCTCAAGGAAATGAATTCTGCCAACAACTGAGGGGGCTTGGAAGCAGATCTTTGCCTAGTCAAGCCACCAGAAGAGAACATGGCCCTTGCAACTCGTTGACTTCAGCCTTGTGAGACTCAAAGCAGAGGACCTAGCTAAGCAGACTCAGTAGCTATTCCCATTCATTTGGAAATTCTGACTTCTGACCTGGAGAAACTGTGATAATAAAGAGAGGCTGTTATAAGCTGCTAATTTTAAGGCAATGTGTTATACAGCAACAGAAAATCAGTAACAGCAGTTTTTTGTACATAGCAGAATCTCTGACTTAAACTGGCTTAATGAGCAAAGAAATTTATTTTCTCATATAACAGGAAGTCCAGAAGTACTTCAATTTGGTTTGTTCAGAGGCTGTATTCTGTCATCAAAGATCCAGATTCTTTGCATCCCACCACTGTGTTACCCTAAGTGATGTTTGATCTTCAGATAGATGCAAGATGGCTCCAGTAGTCATATCAGTGTCACATTCAGAAACATCCAGAGGATAAAAAAAGAGTGTTAATTTGTAAGGCATTTTCAGAAAGAGTAAGGAAACTTCCCAGAAGCTCCTCAGATTTTCATTCCTGTCTCATTGTCCACAGCCACATGCCCATTCCAAATCAGTCACTGACTGGGTGAAAAGGACTAGGAGAAATGGAGAGAAAAGACTAACATGTCCACTACAACCCTTAATCAAAGAGTTTACAAAAAAAGGACAGAAGTATGAAATGTCCACAAACACTGAGATTGCTCTGCAATCAGTGATAAGAAATCAGAGACAATGAAGTAATAACATGTCGGAGAGCAGCAAGGAGCAAGAACATTGCAAGAGACATACAAGGTGAACAAAACAAATGATGAGAGAAGAGATATCCACACCAGACCCATTGCCTAAGGGTTTTCCATCAATTCCATAGAATTAGAAATTAGTATCAGGGTGCCTGGGTGGCTCAGTTAGTTGAGTATGCGACTTTGGCTCAGGTCATGATCTCACAGTTCATGGGTTCAAGCCCTGCATCGGGCTCTGTGTTGACAACTCAGAGCCTGGAACCTGCTTCGGATTCTGTGTCTCCCTCTCTCTCTGCCCCTCCCCTGCTCATGCTCTGTCTCTCTCTCTCTCTCAGAAATAAACATTGAAAAAAAAAAGAAATTCGTATCAAAACTTTGCGCATCACTGATTATATGTACAATTTAATGACATAGTAATTTGCATACAATTATTATTGCTATATAGGTCTGTGTCCCAAGCTTCATAACTCCTCCTGGTATGGTTACAGATAATTTATGATAAAATATTAAAGGCATAAAAAGTAAATTATGTGTAACTATACATTTAATGAATTGCCTGAATTGAAGAACAAGAAATTGCAAAAATATTTTAACTATTCTGGAAAACTCAAGATATATGGAAACCTGCTCTCCCTTAAATAGGAGGTAGAAGATATACCTGTATCTTATCATCGCAGTGTGGAAATGTTGAGGTGCAGAGCCAACAGCCAAAAATAATTCTTATGGGCACCTGGGTGGCTTAGCCTGTTAAGCATCCAACTCTTGATTTCGGCTCAGGTCATGGTCTCACCATAAAGGGATGAAGCCCCATGTCAGGCTCTGACTCTGCACTGGCCAGGGAGTCTGCTTGAGATTCTCTATCTCCTTCTCCCTCTGCCCCTCCCCCTCCCTCCCTCTCTCTCTCTCTCTC